CATCATCATCATCAGCAGCATCATCAGCATCAGCAGCATAACCATCATCAACACCAGAATCATCATCAGCAGCATCATCATCAGCATTGTCATCATCGTCATCATCAGCAGCAGCATCACCATCATCAGCAGAATCATCATCGACAACATCATCAACATCATCATTAGCAGCAGCAGCATCAACATCAACATAACCATCATCAGCATCATCAGCATCATCACCATCACCAGCATAATCAGCATCATCATAATCATCATCAGCATCATCATCAGCATAATCAGCATCATCATCACCAGAATCAGCATCATCATCATCATCATCAGCATCATCATCATCATTATCATCAGCGCATCATCAGCATCAGCATCAGTATCATCATCAGCAGCATCATCAGCATCGTCATCATCAGCAGCATCATCATCAGCAGAATCATCATCGACAACATCATCATCATCATCAGCATCACCATCATCAGCAGCATCAACATCAACATCATCAACATCAGCATCATAATCATCATCAGCATCATCATCATTATCAGCAGCATCATAATCATCATCAGCATCATCAGCATCATCAGCATCATCAGCATCATCAGCAACATCAGCATCTTCAGCATCATCATCAGCATCAGTATCACCATCATCATCAGCAGCATCATCACTACCACCACCATCACCAGCATCATCAGAATCATTACCAGCAGCAGCATCATCATCAGCAGCAGCATCAACTTCAGCATCGTCATCATCATCAGCATCATCATCATCACCAGCAGCGGCAGCAGCATCATACTGATCCTCATCATCAGCATCATCATCAGCAGCATCGTCATCAGCATCATTATCATCATCCGCCTTCTCCTCCTTCTCCGCCTTCTCCGCATTTCTGCCCTCGCTCGCTCAGGCACCAGCGCGCATGGAATTACTCATGATGCAAACTGAGGGGGGGTACTCTGGCCATGACCCCTCTCCCCTGGGCTGCCCCCAGATTTCCAGTCGGCCAGCTCCTCCTCCTTGGCTGGGAAGATGGCATCGAGAGCCCTCTTGAAGTAGCGCGACTCGACGGTGGTGACCCACCGCCACGCCAGCTCGCGTGCCTTCGCCACCGTGAAGTCGGTCGTCAGCCAGCCCTCGGCCCACAGCGGCTCGGAGCTGCACTCGCGGCACCTCTCCCCGAAGCACCACAGGGCGGCCGCGACGATCTCGGCGTCCGATCGAAGCGCCTCCCCGACCCACTCCATGGCGTGATAGTCCTGCCCGATCGCCGCGAGCACCACCTCCCTGTCGCTGCGCAGCTCCTCGCTCGCCCACTTGAGCGCCCACCCCTTGTGGCAGACCGCCTCCAGCACGACGCCCTGGTCCCGCTGGAAGCACTGATCGACGAACTCCAGAGTGCCTCCATGACCGCGGACAGCGCTCATGGCGATGTCGCGGTCCCATCGCGCCTCTCCGAGGGCAAACTCCAGCGCCCAGCTGTCCTGGCCCACTGCCGTGGCCACCACCTCGCGGTCGGCGCGAAGCTCATCGGATGCAAACTGGAGGTCTGCGCCGCGCTTCGACACGGCGGCCAGCACGGTGGCACGGTCCCCGCGGTCCGCAGGCGGACAGCTCTCGAGCACCGGGCCGGCCTCCTCCTCGATGGACATCGCGGCGGGGGTGGCCAACGCCGACCTCTCCGCTGCATCGCCATCTCTTGCGTGAGCCTGGATGCGCGTGCGCGCGGAAGACGCATCGCTCTCGTCGGCCAAGGATCGCGAGGATCCGCGCGAGTTTGGGAGGCCGATGTCCCGGTCGTCGTCGCCAGTCGCCGTGCTGCAGAGGTCGGTGCCCACGTCCTCGGGCGGGCCCTTTCGCTCCCTGCGGGAGGCCTCATAGTCCTCGGGCTCGAGGTTCCACGCCGGCGCCAGCAGCGCTAGCAGGGCCATCCTCTTGGAGCGGTGGGAGCTCACATCTGCACTCTTGTGACTCACGGTGCCGCGGCCGCCCAAGCCAGTTGTAGGGGCAATCACAGACGACATCTGGCCCTCTTCCCTGCGCTAACGCTTGGAACAGGACGCCAAGCCAGCCGTGTTGGGCCACCTTTGGTACTGAGTCGTCTTGGCGACTTCGGTAATAGGGTACGTCTGGCCTCGATACGTAGAAACCACACAGTGCTGCCAGCAGCCTGGAACAAGAGAAAAGGAAATGGTGCCAGCACCCCCAGCTTGACCTGTGGAAAATCAGGCTGCGGAGACGCTTGTGCCGCGGCTGGAGGGAGAAAACGGGAAGAGCTTAGAGCAGGGACCACACCGCAGCAGTGACGTGGAGCCTAACCCCTGGATATCCCAGGAGGGGAGCAGGTCGAGGAGGAGAAGGCCGAAGAGAGACGAGGAGGAGGAGCAGGGGAGAGGCACAAGCAGGAAAGAGGAGAAGGGAGGACAGCTGGCGCAGGCGTGGGCGAGGATGAGAAGGGACGGGAAAGGAAGGCAGACTCAGACAGCGAAGGTGGGGCCGCCCGGATCTCGGGACTAGTCATTCCGGGTCCAGCCTGCTCCTCCGCACTTCTTGACACGAGCGCGCGCTTAGGCGCGGACTCTTCAGCAGTCAACCGACCTGCCATCTGGCAGATTGATTTTTACCTAACAGCTTTTGCTGATAGGTTTCTAGTGGTGTCAAAAGAGAGCAGCAGATGACTCCACAGGGGGGTCGGGGCGGCACCCGGGGAGCTGTGTCCGAACTCGTGTCCGAATGCGCTTTTTGCAAACAGTCACACACTTCGAGCTCTTCGACCTCCCAGAACACCATTCCCGGGCCACATTCTGAATGCCCGGAGCCAACTGTAAGCCACTTCGTGCTCTTCGACTTCCCAGAACTCCATTCCCGGGCCACATTTTGAATGCCCGGAGCCAACTGTAGGCCACGTCGTGCTCTTCGATTTCCCAGAACTCCATTCCTGGGCCACATTTTGAATGCCCGGAGCCAACTGTAGGCCACTTCGTGCTCTTCGACTTCCCAGAACACCATTTCCGGGCCACATTTTGAATGCCCGGAGCCAACTGTAGGCCACTTCGTGCTCTTCGACTTCCCAGAACACCATTCCCGGGCCACATTTTGAATGCCCGGAGCCAACTGTAAGCCACTTCGTGCTCTTCGAGTTCCCAGAACACTATCCCCGGGCCACATTTTGAATGCCCGGAGCCAACTGTAGGCCACTTGTGCTCTTAGAGCTCCCAGAACTTCATCCCGGGCCACAGTTTGAATGCCCAGAGCCAACTGTAGGCCACTTCGTGCGCTTCAAGTTCCCGGAACTCCATTCCCCGGCCACCTTTTGAATGCCCGGAGCCAACTGAGGCTGAGGCAGGCTGCTGCTGAGGCAGGCTGAGGCTGAGGCTGAGGCAGGCTGAGGCTGAGGCAGGCTGAGGCTGAGGCTGAGGTTGAGGCTGAGGCTGAGGCTGAAGCAGGCTGAGGCACACGCTGAGGCAGGCTGATGCTGAGGCAGCGAGGCTGAGGCTGAGGCTTAAGTTGGCTGAGGCTGAGAGAACGGAGGCTGGGCTGAAGGCAGGACGCGCGCTGAGGCCTAGGGCAAGGCGGAGGCTGAGGCTTAGGTCAGGTGATACTGGCGGCGACGAGGGCTGAGGGCCGGCTGGGGCTGAGGTAGGCTGAGGCTGAGGCTGAAGCAGGCTGATGCTGAGGCAGGCTGAGGCTGAGCTGAGGCTGAGCTGAGGCTGATGCAGGCTGAGGCTGAGGCAGGCTGAGGCTGAGGCCGAGGCTGAAGGCAGACTGAGGCTGAGGCTGAAGCAGGCTGAGGCTGAGGCTGAGGCAGGCTGAGGCTGAGGCTGAGGCAGGCTGATGCTGAGGCAGGCTGAGGCTGAGGCTGAGGCTGATGCGGGCTGAGGCTGAGGCAGGCTGAGGCTGAGGCCGAGGCTGAAGGCAGACTGAGGCTGAGGCTGAAGCAGGCTGAGGCTGAGGCTGAGGCAGGCTGAGGCTGAGGCTGAGGCAGGCTGATGCTGAGGTAGGCTGAGGCTGAGGCTGAGGCTGATGCAGGCTGAGGCTGAGGCAGCCTGAGGCTGAGGCCGACGCTGAAGGCAGACTGAGGCTGAGGTTGAAGCAGGCTGAGGCTGAGGCTGAGGCAGGCTGAGGCTGAGGCTGAGGCAGGCTGATGCTGAGGCAGGCTGAGGCTGAGGCTGAGGCTGATGCAAGGTGAGGCTGAGGCAGGCTGAGGCTGAGGCCGAGGCTGAAGGCAGACTGAGGCTGAGGCTGAAGCAGGCTGAGGCTGAGGCTGAGGCAGGCTGGGGCTGAGGCAGGCTGAGGCTGAGGCCGAGGCTGAGAATATTCGACCTGGTGATGGATGACTGAGGCTGAACGCAGGCGTGAGGCTTGAGGCTTTGAAGGCTGGGGTGGTGGGGTTTTGGGGGGGTGGGGTTTTGCTTTAGGCTGAGGCTGAGGCAGGCTGATACTGAGGCAGGCTGAGGCTGAGGCTCTGACTGTGACTGCCGTTGCCACTGCGACTGTCACCGCGAATGCGACTGCGACTGCGAGAACAGGAGAATTCTACAACTGGATTATCATCTGGATCTTAAGGGGAATGTTTCCATATATGTTTCTACACATCGCTGTTAGGTTGCTTTGCCGGGATAATTGCCTAACAGCTCTTGCTGATAGGTTTCTAGTGGTCTTAAAAGAGAGCAGCAGATGACTCCTCAGGGGGGTCGGGGCGGGACCCGGGGCCTGCCGCCGAAGCCGAAATCGCTTGGGACATCCTGGCAAAATCGCTCTTGGTGCTCCCAGAACTCCATGTCCCGGGCCACATTTTGGATGCCCGGAGCCAACTGTAGGCCACTTCGTGCTCTTCGATTTCCCAGAACTCCACTCCCGGCCACATTTTGGATGCCCGGAGCCAACTGTAGGCCACTTCGTGCTCTTCGAGTTCCCAGAACTCCATTCCTGGGCACATTTGATCTTGAATGCCCTGTAGCCAAGCCTGTAGGCCACTTCGTGTTCTTCTAGTTCCCAGAACTCCATTCCTGGGCCACATTTTGAATGCTGAGGCAGGCTGATGCTGCGGCCGAGGCAGGAGGCTGAGGCTGAGGAGGCTGAGGCTGAGGCGAGGCTGAAGGCAGATGAGGCTGAGGCTGGCGCAGACTGACTGCGGCGAGGCTGAAGCAGGCTGAGGCTGAGGCTGAGGCAGGCTGAGGCTGAGGCTGAGGCTGATGCAGGCTGAGGCTGCAGGCTGAGGCTGAGGCCGAGGCTGAAGGCTGAGGCTGAGGCTGAAGCAGGCTGAGGCTGAGGCTGAGGCAGGCTGAGGCTGAGGCAGGCTGAGGCTGAGGCTGAGGCAGGCTGAGGCTGAGGCTGTGACTGCGACTGCCGTTGCCGCTGCGACTGTCATCGCGAATGCGACTACGACTGCGAGAACAGCAGAATTCTACAACTGGATTTTCATCTGAATCTTAAGGGGAATGCTTTCAGATATGCTTCTACACATCGCTGTTAGGTTGCTTTGCAGGGATATTTTTTTTAGGGGGCGCGTGCATCCCCTCCCCTCCTGACGCTTCCCGGGCGACCCACAGCATCCCATGGTGCCCTCAAAGGCTCTCCAAGGCTGGCAAAAAGGCCCAGAGAGAGACCACCAAAGCCTCCAGGATGGCCCCCAACATTGCGCCAACAGGAACCCGACATCCTTCAAGAAGAGCCCAAGAATAGCCAAAGGGGCCCCAAGAGGCGTCCAAGCCACCAGAAAGGAGGCCAGGAGGCTCTCCAAATAGGCCAGAATTATCAAACATCAAATCACACTCCGCCAGCCCTCTGGGAGGAAAAGGTTTAGCGCACTTCCTCTTCCAATCCCCATTCGCACCTCCGCCTACCCTCTCCCATGGACATGGACGCGTGGGGGGGGGGAGGGCGCGAGGTGTCAGAGGGTAATTCGCGATCGCACGAGATTGTCCAAGATGGCTCAGACGGCCTCAAACATCCCTCCAAGGAGCCACAATACTACCACAATGCAGCTCCAAGGGTCCACGGAGCCCCAGAGACTCCCGACTGCTCCAGATCCTTCAAAGCCAAATGTAGTTTCCATGATGCTTGCCGTGCCGCCTTTTCGCTGCCAGCCGGCTGCCTCAAGATGGCCCAAGAAACCTTCAAAGACAGCGCCAAGAGTGGCACAGCAAAGCGATGACCCTAAGCCCAAGAGCGCCCCAAGGGGGCTCTAACAGACGCTTCGTAGTGCTTTAGGAAGGAAAAGCTGACCAGAGCCACCTCATCTTTGACACACACACACACACACTCTCACAAACACGCTGCAAAACCTAAGGTATTTGAAAGATGGGTGCCGCTCGAGAACATCATTGGTAAGCTGGTGGGCCAATACGGCTCAAGAAGAGCATCAGGTACCCCGAAGCGGCATCGAATATGGCGCAAGATATTCCAAATCGGCTCGAGATGGCCTCTAGCATGCCAAGAGACCCCAAGACGGCCATCAGCAGATGGCTCCAAGTGGCCAAGTAGCTCAAGGATGTCCTTGAGAGGCCAAAACCCTTCTGGCGCTTCGGGTGCTGCGATGGTGCTCGCCTTCTGCCCTTTTCGCGTCCAGTGGTCTTCCACGCGGCGTGATCACGAGGAAGTGAGCCAACACAACTGCGCACAAACCGAGCCACCAAAGCACTGGCCAACTCATGCGGCACAACGCGAATCATCGCGAGCCTCCGTGGGTTGGACTCCCCCTGCACCGAACCTTCTGTCTCCCGCGCGACGGTGCACCCACAGGGGCACTGGCGGTCTGGCGTTTGCCTCGTCGCGCCTGTGGATGCTTTGGGCAAATGCCCCGAAGGGGTGCAGAACAGCCATGAGCACAAGGTGCAGGGACTGGAGTGTGGTACCGATGCGGAGGGTCAGGGAAGTGCGAATGAGCGTCCACATCGCACTCTGCGCAGTTCCTGTGGATCGCGAGCTGGGGTCGCTCCCAGCTCCAGTACCAGCTAGAATTGCGGGTGGTGGTGCGAGCGAAGAGAATGGCATGTCTGAAATGAAGCGGGCTCTTCTCTTTTCTCCTTAACAAAGATAGCTGTCGCGCCAGCGCTCGAACCAGAGGGCAACGAGCCACCCTATTCGAGTGATGGGGTGGGGAAGGGTGGGGAAGGGGGAGAAGAGGAAGAGAAAGAGAGAGAGAGAGAGATAGAACCAGAGGCGGAAGGGAGAGGGGGCAGAGGGGAGAGAGGTTGGATACTAGCCCTGCCTGCCCTTCACTGGCCCGGCTGGCAGGCAACGCCACGGGCGGAAGGAAGAGCGCCACTGCGGAGAGAAGAAGAGAAGCGCGCGGCCTGAACACGCGCCAGGATATCACAGTAGAGATGTGACCGCGACGATGGCTGTTGGCACCGCTCGGCAAGCACGTCTGAACGCAGCCTGCAGTCTCTTGCTGGGCGCCACACAGAAGCCCCGGACCCAGCCGGGCCGACCCTCCCCCCCCGCATGCCCCCCCCCGCCCTCCCCCTCTCAGCTCAGCCCGCCGCGGACAGCACCTCGGCCAGCGCGTGGTGGCCCCGCGCCCGCGCCCACGCCGCCGCCGCGTCGCCGTCGTCGTCCTGCAGCGACGGGTCCGCCCGGGCGTCCAGCAGCCACTGGCAGAGCTCGGCCTGCCCGGAGTCCGCCGCGAACATCAGCGGCGTGGCCCCGTCGCTGCTCCGCGCGTCCACCGCGCCCCCCGCGCCCGCGAGGAGCTCGCGCAGCAGCGCGCGCCCCCCCGCCGCGTCGGGCTGCGGGGCGCAGCACCCCTCCGCGCAGCCGCCCTCGTCGGAGCCCCCGGCGGCCTCTGCGCCGCCCCCGGCCGCGTGCACGGCCCAGTGCAGGCAGCTCCAGCCCGCCTCTTCAGGGGCCCGGATTGGACGGGGGGGGCCGACCGCCGTCGCGGGGGTCGCTGGGGGCCTCCCGCCCCCTGGGGGGAGGGGCGGGGTGCAGGAGCAGGACGAGCACTAGGAGGCGAGGGCTGGGAGGGGGCCTCGCCGCCGGCCGACGAGATTCCTGGGGGTGCATCTGTCTTTTGTTTTCTCTCTATCTCTCTCTCTCTCTCTCTATCTCTCTCTCTCTCTCTCTCTCTCTGTCTCTATCTCTCTCTCTGTCTCTATATCTCTCTATCTATATATATAGATGTACGTATGTATATGTATCCATCCTACCGTTAGGCCTAAGTCATGGTTACGACGGCTGGTTGGCAATGGCATTCGTGATTGCCATCACTGCCTAGACAGCTTCGTCCCAAGCGATAACCTCGGCAGTGAAAGAGGAAATCGGCGCTCGAAGAAGAGCGCCTCCAAATATTATCGGGGTGGTCACTGTGTCCCTCCATCCATCTCTCCCTCTCTCCCTGCGGCCGGACCTGGGGCAGAAAAACACCCTTCAAGAACATGAGACCCTCCGGCGGCCAAAAACTAAAGCACCTTCCAGGGCACCCTCCCCCAGGTTGCACCAGAGCGCCCAACAAACACTTGTTTGCGTCGCAGCGCGGCAGAGGCAGTCCGCACACGTGTCCAGGCAACCCGGACTACGGTATTGCGAATGGTCCCGCATGCAAGCGGAGGGGAGAAGACCAGAGACGGCCGCAGAGAGACATACTAGTACTATATGTCCTCCTTGGAGGCGCGCGTCCGACCCGAACATATAGTATACCCATCTTGTAGTATATCGTTTCCCGAGGGGTGCGGCCAGAAAGCGCCCGCCACGACACATATACTATAAGAATTCTCAGTGCGCGCGTCGCCCCGGGGGGGGAGGGCGACGCACACATAGTAGAAGTATATTGGGCTGACGCCGAGAGACGGCCGCAGAGAGGGGGGGGCGACTCACGCGTCGAGGCCGCGGGGGGCGGCCGGGCCGCAGGGCAGCCACCGGGCGGAACATCGGGGCACCCTTCCCGAACTGGCCTCGATCTTGCCCATAGGTCGGAAGAAGTAGGTAGAGACATGAAGCAGGAAGGCAGATACAGTGGAGGCCCATGCCAAGAAACACCCTGCTTGCCTCCAGGATGCCCTGGGTTTCTTGTGTTTCGATGGTTTTGCTGTGGAGAGCGCGACGATCCCACACCAAAAACCCAATGGACGTCCTGGGATCTCAGGATTGGGCTTCTTGTGGAAGGTTTCTTGTGGACTGGCCTCCAATGTAAAGCAGGTTAGTTTCAGGCCCTCCCAGAGAATAACAGACACACAGAAAAAGCATGCCGACTCTTGAAGTAATAAGGCGCCAGAAGTAGACCGTGATCTGGGAACCCAGAAATACCTACTTTCAACGACCGATGGGTATACATCTGTCCGACAGTCCTCCTCCTCCTCCTCCTCCTCCTCCTCCTCCTCCTCCTCCTCCTCATCATCATCATGTATGAAGAAAATCCTGGAGGCCTCGCGCGGCAACTTGAGACCCAATTTACGTCGGATATACGTCGGATTTACGTCGGGTTCACGTCGGACTACGTCGGATTTACGTCGGATTTACGTCGGACTGACTCCTGAGCATCGCCGCGCGAGCGTGAACCCATAGCTTACGGAACTGACAAGTGGTCTAGATCATACAACTATTACGCGCCGCGCGAGGCCTCCAGAATTGTCCTCATAACTCCTCCTCCTGCTCCCCCTCCTCCTCCCCCTCCTCCTCCTCCTCCTCCTCCTCCTCCTCTTCTCTGCGCTCGGGGTGGAACGCCGCCCTCCGCCAGAGGACTGCGGGCGCTGGCAGCCCCGGGGACAGGGCCTGGCGGCATGCACGGGATCCCGGACCCGGCGCGCGAGCTCCAAAGATGAGACTTGGGGTCCCGCGTGGTGACAGACCCGGCGACGACCTCGACATCCGCAAGGACATCACCGCAGGGTCCGCCACCACACGGCCTCGGGGACGCCGGAGGCCCCGGTCGTCCGAGGCATCCTCGGAGAACGACGCGAGCCCCAAAGCCGTGCGGTGACCCCGAATCCCCACTGACTCACTGGTGTGGTCACCACCCCGTTTTGGGGGCCCCCGAAGAGAGCTCGCGCGCCGCTGCCGGACGAGGCCCCCCAAAACGGAGCCCATGCGGAGCCAAACAAAAATGCCCCGAGGTCGCCTCGGTCGTCACGCCGCGGCCCCTCGCCGTCGCCAAGGCCTCCCGAGTCACAAACCTTTGTTGGAGGCTTGGCAATGAACACCAACACCAAAACAATGAGTTGCCTCCACAGGGGGGAAAGTTATCCCAGAGTTTGGTGTTGGTTGGTGGTAATCTTCGGGCCTTCTAGAAGCCCGAATACTACCACCATCACCGAAATCTGCGTCATCATCCTTCGGTGGAGGCACACCGCCGATAGTAGTGTTGGTGCCAATCTCTAGGTATGCGCCGCTGACGCTCAGGCTGGACGCTCAGAAGGGTAAGGAGGAGGAGGAGGAGGAGGCAGAGGGCCAGAACGAACCTGGATGCCTAAACGATGCTGCAGTGCACTGCCGCCGCCACCGCCCCGTCCCAAAGCCCCCTCGCCGCGAGCCCCTGCTGATGCTAGTCGGGGGCGTCCAAACATGGATTAGCCATCCATGGATTTGGCGCGCGGTCGCCAAATCCAGGGATCGCGGGAGGTGCCCTCCCCAAAATGCGGCTGGTGGCGCCTCGTTCGGCGGCGGCAAGCCGCGACTTCCCATGGAAACGGGACCCGACGCTAGTCCACGCCCCCTTAATCCATGTTTGCGATCGCCTGAGTCAGCCGCACTTCCTCAGCTGCAAGAAGTGGTTCCCCCATCGAGCCACGCGCGCCTCACGGGCCTGCTATATTCGGGCGGCACCCGTGCGGGGACGGGCAGCGAGGTGTCGTCCAGCAAAGGGCCCCGTTTCGAAGAGAGGAGCCGCCCTCCACCAACTACAGAGGAGCCCAGTCCACAAGACGCCTCCCACAGGAAACTCAACCCTGAGGCTCACAGGACGTCCATGGATGCTCTGGTGCGGGAACGTCGCGCTCCCCATCACAAAACCATCAAAACCCAAGAAACCCAGGGCACCCTGGAGGCATTGCTTGGCATGGGCCCCCACTGTAATCCATGCACATGGCTCCACGTCTGGTCAATTGGCTTGAAGGCTTCTCAAGCAAGATCCACGTGTTGAGAGAAAGGACCGCCCCTCATCCGTGCACCTGCATCGTTGCAAAGCTTCCAGGTTGGAGGAGATCGTAAGCGAGAGCGGCGCTCTAAGGACGAGCTGGACTGAATCATTGAAACTGCTGAATTCGTATATGCGCATGGCGCTACGGTGGAAGCCCGACCACAACAAACCTCACAAAAGAAACCCAACCGTGAGACTCACAGGACGTCCATGGATGTTCTGGTGCGGGAACGTCGCACTTTCTCCAGTGCAAAACCATCGAAACCCAAGACACCCAGGGCACCCTGGAGGCAAGCAGGGTGTTCCTTGGCATGGGCCTCCACCAACTAATCCAAGAGCATGGCCCCACGTCTGGTCATCTGGTTTGAAGGACTCTCCAGCGAGATCCCCGTGTTGAGAAACGACCGCCCCACATCCGTGCACACACGCATCGCTAACAGCTTCCAGGTCGGAGGAGATCGTAAGCGAGAGCGCCGCTTTGCAAACGAGCTGGGGACTGAACCATTCACGCTGATGGATTTGTCTATGTGCACGGCGCCAAGACGAGAGCCCCGTGCTGAAACCAGCCCCCTCCACTCTTGAGACTGCTGTGGCCTCTCAAAAACGACTGCGCGCGGCGCTACGGCGAGAGCCCCATCTTGAGAACGAACAGGCCTCCACCCTGGAAGCTGTCGCGAATTTTGAAGACGCATGTGCACGGCGCTCTGCTCGCCCTCCCCTCTCCCCCGCGGCCGCCCTGCCTGTCCTCCCCCCCCCTCCTGCAGGCCGGCCCACTCGCTTTGATAGTGCCCCTGCAGCGCTGCCGCGCTGGAGCGGACTGCCCTGCCTCGCTGCCGGCGGAAAAAAGTGCACGGCGCTCGGGCCAGCACTCGGGGATGGACAGACCCCCCTTAGTAGAACGTGGTTTAGTGAAAACGACCTGAGTCCAAAACCTGGCGGGCGCAAGCCTGGAAAATAACGGCCACGGCGCCATCTCGAGAACCGAAAACGGACAATTCACTAATCGACGTGTCACCGTTGGGGGTTCTGTCCACCCCCGATTTGAGCCACCACCCCACCCTGGAAGCTGCTGCAAAAAGCTTTTGCCCCGAACCTACGCGGCGCCGAGGCGAGAGCCCCCCTTGGAAGGCGAACCGGCGTCCATCATGGCACGGCTCAGCCTTGTCAGCACGAGCATGCACGGCGCGAGGGCAAAAGAGCCCCGGTTTGAGCAACGTCCACACTGTATTCAAAACTGCGGCAACGTGCTCAAACGACTGTACAACACGGCGCTAGGGTGGGTCCCATTTTGAAAACTACTGGCCCTCCATACTTGAGGCTGGTTGAGCGCTTCAGCTTCAGGATAACAAGCAGCACAGAAGTCCGAAAAAAAACGACTGGCAAGGCCGACGGATACGTCTGGCGGTGCAGCAGGGGAAATCCCACCAGCCCTTTGGGCGTGAGTGGTTTAGCGAGCTCTCTCTGTTCTCAACCCCTTATCTTCCCCTTCGGGGAGGGGTTTACCCCTCCCCCTACCCCCTCCCCCTGGACCTGGACAGGGATTCCCGAGTGGTGGCGGGGGGGTCCATTTCGACTCCTCGGAGGGCCAAAAAACGACGACCCTCACGAGGATTCTGGCCCCGGGGGGGGGGGGGAGTTTGGTCCCTCTGCTCGTCTTTGAAGCAGAAATCATTGATTTTACGAGGGTTTTGGCCCCATTTTGGCCTTCTGAGGGGGACGCGCTCATCTTCCCTCATAGCAAAATCATTGATTTTACGAAGGTTTTGGGCTCATTTTGTCCTTCTCAGGGGGCAGCTCTCCTTTGCGCTTCTGCGGAGGTCGCAAGAGGCCCCAAGATGGCCCCAAGAGGCCCCCAGGAGGCTCCCAAGAGGCCTCCAAGAGGCCCCCCAGAGGCCCCCAAGCGGCCCCAAGAGGCCCCCAAGAGGCCCCCAAGAGGCCCCCAAGAGGCCCCACGAGGCCCCAAGAGGCCCCCAAGAGGCCCCCAAGAGGCCCCCAAGAGGCCCCCAAGAGGCCCCCAAGAGGCCCCCAAGAGGCCCCCAAGAGGCCCCACGAGGCTCCAAGAGGCCCCCAAGAGGCCCCACGAGGAGCCCGAACGACTCACACCAGGACGAGGGGCCCGAACGACTCACACCACGAAGAGCCCGAACGACTCACACCACAAGGAGGGGCCCGAACGACTCACACCAGGACGAGGCGCCCGAACGACTCACACCACGAGGAGCCCGAAGGACTCACACCACGACGCGGGCCCCGAACGACTCACACCACGAGGAGCCCGAACGAGTCACACCAGGAGGAGGGGCCCGAACGACTCACACCAGGATGAGGGGCCCGAACAACTCACACCACGAGAAGCCCGAACGACTCACACCAGGACGAAGAGCCCGAACGACTCACACCACGAAGAGCCCGAACGACTCACACCAGGAAGAAGGGCCCGAACGACTCACACCAGGACGAGAAACCCCAAACGACTCAAATCACGAGGAGCGCTTTCTCTCCCTCCTCCTCCGCCTCGTCCTTCTCCCGCTCCCCCACAAGGAGGATGTACAAGGAGGCGGGAGGAAGGAGGAACAGGGGAGATATGCGGGGCC